CCCTTTTCTCTCCATATGTGGTCAGCCACGCTTGATTTTCCCACTTCCCCTCATGTTACAGCTTTCTGGTATTCTTGAAGCCTTACCTCAAGGAGGCGACCTGTCTCCCCTTTATATTTCTTTCTGCACCTGCACGGGATAATGTACACACAGTCTTTAGTCATGTTCTCCTCTTTGGGCGGGGGTCTTACTTGGGAGAGATATCTGCAAAGCATTGTCCAGCCTTTGAAGGTTTTCCTGATGTTATATGGACTGCAGATCCTAATTATTTTTTACTGATAACCCCTTCATATAAGGCTGTTTTCTGAGTGTTGTTGTCCTCTTCTTGTACCCACCTATCCCAGTTTTTCAGGGCTGCTGCCATGTACACAAGGTAGTTGTTACATTGTAGGGTACTACTTATACTGACCAATTCTTTATCTAATGTTATGTACAGAAAGTCACCATCTACATCAGATTATCTATTGGAATACTGGTCCGTTCTACCCATGAGTCAGAGGCCAATCTGCCTCTGACTACTGAGAGTGCTTCCTCGGGGGCTACCTTGGTGTCCAAGCTCACCATTTGGTTGGATAGGATATATATATATATATATATATATATATATATGTGTGTGTGTGTGTGTGTGTGTGTTTTATTAAAAACGACAGACCAGGTACTACGGTTAAGCTTTTTATTTCATTTTTCTTGTGTTCAAACAAGAGCTTTCTTTTCTGAGGAAAGGGTGTGCAAGAACTGTCCAAATGTTTCATATTTCCAAGCGCTTTCAGCTATACCTTTAGCCATTATCAAGGATGATTTGATTTTTCAGTTTAATTGAGTGTGTGCATTCTGTGTATGTCTTGGTGTGCGGTAGGGATGTTTTTAATTTCCGAATATGGTTAGCACATTGTAGCTTTGTTCGTAGTTAATATTGTTAAGAGTTGACTTTTTCTTTTTTATTATTAAAGCTTCCATTATTTTTAGTCTTTTTTTTTTGCAGGTGGATGCAGTTAATATATTTGTGTTTTCTACTAGTATGCTTCTAATGGAGTCTGTTAAATTTGTGTGTGTGTGTGTGTGTTTAAATGGGTTCTAATGGAGCTGTGATGAGATAGGTGCAATGTAAGACGTCTGGATAAGCATGTGGTTGTGTAACTGATGTAATTATTTATGAGTCCAGTTTGATCAGGAACACAGTTCCTTAAGGGGCATTTGAACCATGAGTTCAAATTGCCACACAAGAATTACGCAATCACCCTGACATTATTGTAAAAAAAGCTGATAAGACCAACATTTTTGTCATCCCAAACAAAGTGGATTACAACAAAAAACTTTACCACATACTCCATGATCACAAAGTTTAAAAAACTTAACAAGAACCCGACCAACCAACTAAAATCAAAGCTTAATAAACTTATTAATGCTAATAATGCTGAACAGAACTCTTTAAAACTCCCTAATAATCATACATAGAATCAATCGCCATTAATCGCATTAATATTGCTGATTAATTCTATGTATGATTAATTCTTTATATATAAAATATATGCTGCCTAATATGTTTATAAAAAACAATTGATCCGCAGTACAAAATTCCTGAGAAAAAAAAGACTACTACGACATAGTATATAGTTCAATTAATATAGTAATTAGTTCATGCCATGTTAACTGAAAAACACTTTAAAAAAAAAAAAAGAATTCATGGATTTACCATATTACAAAATTCATATAAAAATTCTCACTTGAAATTTTGAACTTTAGCATTGCGACTAGCATGTTCTGAGATTGTACAACCGTCAATAAATAGCAGACTTAAAAAACATCTTTCGGTCTACAAACAATTATTTCGTCTTCAAGTTTTAACTTTAAAGGAAAAAATTACAGCCTTTACAGCCTGACAATCTAGGAATGATTCTTCGAAAGTACTTGCTTAACTTAAAAAAATATACACTAGAAACATCTGACAACATTTTTATAAATGAGGATCACATTCACTGGATTAACAGTATTTTAATGCATACATTATGTTTCTACTAGCAAAGTGATTTCACCATTAATCGCATTAAAAACCAAACCGAAAGTCAGATGAATAACATAACTGTTATATAATGATAAAAAAAAAAAAAAAAATGTTACTTAAAAACCGAAAAGAGTAAATAAAATATACAGTATAATAAACAAATCCTAAAAAACAATTAAAAAAAATTAATCTAAATTAATCCAAATAAATAAATAAACAAACAAACAAGCCTATCCTGATAAAAGTATCATTTAAAAATAGTTACATCAGGATCAAAATGGCCCCAAGGAGGTTGCTTGGCAGGAATTGTCATAACTGCTAATCAACATTATACTAAGTTTGATAGCAAATGGAGATATTCAGGTGAAAAACAACTGGGGAAAATAAGCTATTGATATGGTTTAAGTCTTTCAGATGAAAAACCATATGTAGTGAGTTGGGGTTGGAGACTGCAGTTGAAATTGCTAAGATACTGAATGAGATATTTTTCGAGAGTGGGTTGGTGGATAAGGTTCTAACTGAATTTTGGAACCCTTGAAATGCATGATGGGTGCAAAGGTGGTGGTGGAGGTCACATATTGATCAAGTGGCAATTATAAGGGTAAGAAGAGTAAGCATAGAACTAAGCTTTCAGATTGCAATATCCAAGCATGAACAGAGATTGAATAGACACTCAAACACATGCACAAAATACTGATGACCATTGAGAAGAGGAAAGGGGCCCATATCTGTCTAGTCTAGGTTGTGTAAATAAAACTTCCAAAATGTATGAGAAATGAAGGGTGATATATTAATTCCCAGAATAGTCTCTTACTTGATTGTGTGACTCACCATTTTCTGGATAGTCTGATGAGCAAAATGATAAAGAAGGCAAATATTGTAAATCAGCAAAGCGAACAGACAAGCAATTGAGATGAATTCAGCCAAATTAGTTACTCATAAATGGGTATGAATAAAAATAGATGTTTTTTGCTTTCATTTTTAAATTCACTTTTTATGGATAAAAGAAAAAGTGAACCAACAATGAAAACAAATTTTGGTAAGGATAAGAAATTAAGAAAACCTTTCTGCCTGGTGAACTTGTAAAATATTAAATGTACAAAAATATTTTCAAAATTTAACTTCTTAAGAAAGTATTATTGCAAATGTCATTTTTGACAAAGTCTTTTCAACTGCATAAAAAATTAAATGTTAATAGTAAAACACCATTTCCTTATTTTCCAACATCATAGCATTGACAAGTTAAAAATCAAGTTTCAAATATAAAGTAGAAAAATTGAATACAAGTTTTATATCTAGCTAGTACATTGAATGTATGAATATCATCACAGGCTTGTCAAAATATTTATTTAGAGCAAGAGCAATTAGATTAATCGGATATTTTTCCCCACAGAACAAATATTTTAGCTAATGCTTTTCTTTTAACAGACATTTTGTAACTGATGACCAATGACAAAATACACCTTATATTCTAATGATTATATAGCTTTGACAAGGTTAAACTAATTTTCATTTTTGATTAATCCTGTTATTTAACAAGCATTAATGAAGGATTAATTTAAACAATTAAACAAGTCCATGAAAAATAGAAATTCACTAAAGTAGATTTCAAAGTGATTAATGCCTTAAAAAAGAGCAATATCTAATGAACAGAGCCTTGGAGAAATGATTGGAATCATTGAGATGCATGATGGGTGCAAATGTGGTGGTGGTGAAGTGATACTGTAAACTGAGGAGAGACAAGGGAATCAACCAACAAGGCCATATGCTTCACTGTCATTAAAGCAGCATAGCACATCTTTGTATTCAATTTGTATTGCATTGTCAATTCCAATTTCTCTAAAACCCAAGATCAATAGCTGGTAATGGTTTTGTTACTTTCTGGCTTATCCATGATTTCTAGTTGATATAGCAGTAACAGCTTTGAATTTTGCAGACTGGCAATAAAGGAAGATGTAATATCCTTTCTATGAAAGGTCTGATAGAACTAAATTATAAATACATTGCTGCTTCAAGTTTTGAATGAACTGTGGTATTATTGCACACAAAATTTCTTTGACCAATTCATACACTCCACTTGGAAAAGACTTCATCTTTAAGTGATAAGTTGAAAAGGTATACATTGATTTTATGTACAAGATTAATACTTTTTAAAATAGTTACATACTTTTTAACTGCTTGAGTGTCTTTACTTGATCTGCATTAAATTGGCTGTAACTATTTCATCTCGTTAATCCAGATAAAGTATCTTACACACTTGGAATTTGGCAAAAGCTGAAGTTTTGTTTGGCAACTTCAAAATCAAAAAATGTAAATGAATAAAGGATAACTCTCCCAATAAAATTCATATTTTATTAAGTCTACAAAAAAAATTTCAAAGAGCAGTTACATTTATCACACATAAAAAATTACTTGTTATTTGAATTATTTGAGTGTGTGTGTGTGTGTGTGTGTGTCAGGTGGGGGGACCCTAAAAATAATGCATTAAAGACATTTGCAATATGAAACCAGATCTAGAAAGAAAGAAAAAAATATACAAAACAAAAAATTTTTTTTTTTTTTTTTTTTTAAGACTTACATGCATTTTAATTGTGACATCTTCCTCAACCACAGAAAATTTTATCTTTACTTCATTTGAATCAGTTGAACTTCCTGGATGGACGAAGAAAAAAAGAGAAACAAAAACTAAATGCAAATCTCAGTTACATGGTAGATAATTTATTTTGGATCAATAGTACAGAAAATTAGGGAGTGAGGAACCATCCCAAAACATTACTTTTGTTGCTGGTATTTTATCCCAAACACAAAAAGAAAAAGAAATTTGTGACAGCTTAGTTTGACTTTTTTTATATTTTTTTCCTCTTTGTAAATAAGGTTTCATGTGATTGTAATCACATGCTGGAATTGGAATTAGAGCCTGTCACAACCTTGTCAAAGGGAAGGAAGAAAAGTGTCTATGAATTGAGTTGTATATTTTTATTTATTTATTTTTTTTTTTTTACTTAGCTTTGCCTTGGTTAGCCACTTTATCCATAGCAGCTTTCACTGTTGCCTCATCAGCAACATAATAGTGTTTGATGGGATTCAAATTATTATCCAGTTCATACACCAAAGGAATTCCTGAAAAAAAATTTAGATTAAAAACTTTAAGAGATTAAAAGCAGAAGTGAGAAAAATTAAAAGAATGCAATGAGTCAGTATATGAGATTTTAAGTGCAGCAGTAAAATGCTAAACTTGAAAATTTTGTTGAAAGTGAGTTTCTCTAAAAACAATTTTTTTATTTAAAACCATTTTAAAAGTAAACAAAACATTCATATTACAGATTATTAATATTATAAAGTGTTTTGTTAATGCAAAAATGTTAGTCTTATTTCCTTTTAAATTTCTGAAGGAATAAGTAAAATTTAAAGAAAAAAATTATTTCCCCCATGTTACTGTTATAACAAAAAAAAAAAAACAACATTGTCTAGAAGATATGATAGAATGGCTGAAAAACATAAAAAGCAACAAAGAATGAGAATATTAGTCAAAATAGTTCATGCATGTTTGCCTTTTAGCCAGAGTAGTTTCCAGCATTCAATAAAATGGACCAAAAATTTTGTTTTATATTTTCATTTTATTATGTAGGAGTTGAAGGGAAAAAGAAAATGAAGAGGGACAGATTATAGCTAATATATAATCAGTAGTTTGAAAGTTTCATAATTGAACTATTTTAAAAGATTTAATGCTCAACCACTAATTACAGGAAATTTCCAGATAAATGGTTTATTTTAACAAACCTGTGGGGATGTTAAGGTTGAGGATTTCATTGTCAGTCATCTTGTCCAGGTATTTTACCATGGCACGAAGGCTATTACCATGAGCAGCAATGATTGGTTTCTTACCAGACTAAAAAAAAGAAAATAATTACATTAAAACGTCTAATTCAAACAAGAGAATTATATAAAAGGTTGAAAATAACTTCAAAAGGATTTCAAAGTCATGTACATATTCTTATAATTAATTGGCTAGATTATTATGCTGGCTTATTCCAATTTTCATATTAAAAGTTAAGCTGGCAAAATAAATGGCAGAAGTAAAAATACAAAATTATTTCATTCTATTGTCAGGTTTTTAACTATTAGTGTATATGCTAGCGCAGAAGTGAAGTTGAAATTAAATACTTTTAAAAAATTTTAACTTTAAAGTAGGCAGGGCATTTTGGTCAATGTTTGCTATTGATAGTACTAAAAGTGAAACATTTCCCCAAGAAGCATTATTTGAGGAATAAAAAGGAGGGGACTCATTTGTAGTAATCACAATAATTAATCAAGATTAAATATGAGGGTGATAGGTTCATTTAAACTAGGACAGCAATGTCAAACCATGCAAGTAATATTTGCTTTTAACTTAAAGTTTTGTTTCACTCAGAAAGTAACTGCTCAATATACTTTCAATAATGTTTTAGAAAATACATGAAATTTATATTAATCAGATAGGCAAAGAATGCAACTTACATGTGGATATGTGAGAAAGGATAAAATCTATTGAGCAAATTACATAGAAGTTAAAAATAGAAAAAGTTCTTACTCTCAATGCTGGAACAATAACATCATGCCAGAAAGGCAGGGCTCTGGCAACTGTATCTTTGAGACACTCACATTTGGGAATCACTTTCTTATCAAGATCCTAAAAGAGAAGACAAAAAAAAATACTCGATAATTTTTTCAGTGTCAAAAAAAAAAAAAAAAAAAAAAAAAAAAAAAAAATCTAATTTTTAACATACAGGTTCATATTGATTGATGCTTCAGTGATTGCATTTACATTGGAGAATTTAGGATAAGTTATTTGGTGAAAGTTCAATAAACAATCAACATATTTTTAAGGTTTCATTAATTTATTATCTGTCTATAGAAAAGTTATCTACTACAAACCAGTTGATCGTACATGACCCAGAGCTATGTATATAGTGTTAAAGCAAGGGGAGACAATGAGTTGTCTTCTCCCGTGTAAACAGATTGTGTTTAAAATCTATAGTTCGCCTATATTCACTTTAACTGTCTCACTCCTTCCTCACAAGTGACATTCTAACAAGATATTCTGCTCTGTGCTGGCAATAGGGGTTCATCTCTTAACCACATCTATGAAATGGGTGTTCATTCTACTACATGTCGATTTTCTTAATTAGGTTTCAATAAAATTTTCATTTTATGAAATCTACTTATGTACAATAATCATCACTATAGTAATATAACATAAAATTGTGAATCATTTCTTAAATGGGTAAAATAAACATTACCTGTAGAGCAAAAGAAAAAAAAAAGAAAACATTGTTATGTATGCTTTCTTCATCACCAAGTTTAAGCAAAGTAAATAAAAATGAATTACTTCACCTATAAATTTCATATTTCTAAAAGTTTATAATTTTAGATATATAATTTTAAACTTCAATTACTTTTAAAACAATTTGAACAAACATTCTATTCTTAAAGTTGAACGTACAAAAATTTAAATTTACAAAATATTTATTGAACAACTATAGATTTAATATTCTACAAGTGGAATATTAAATCTAAAATAAAAATAAAAAGTTTTATAATTATTCTGCTAGTCCTGTTGGCTGTGTCCTAAATAATATATCATATTATGTTATATATGTGAACAATTCAAATATGAACAATGTATATAAATACAAATTAGTGACATGTCATAGTGAATCATTCCATCTTAAATCAACAATGTTTTGAAACATTTTTCCCCATCCACAAATAAGCATACTCTTTTTAATTTCTTTCATAAAAGTTAAGTTTCTACTCCCACCTACTTTTCTTCATTGTCCTTGAACCAGTATCTGCTAGTTGTAATTATTCTCAGATGTTTTTAGTGGAATGAACCAACTCCTGTGTTTTTCCTGATAAAAATACACAAGAACTGCTTCTTCAGTGTCTACAAATTACATTTTAATATTTTTCCTTACAAAACTATATTCTTTTTTTCAAAGAAACTATATGGCAACCAGCAAAATAACTTGTCATAGCTACCTTCAATATCAGGAGGTGCATTAACATATTAAACATAAAACATTAGTATAAATGCAAGAGAAGATGGCATAAGTGCTAAACTTGTCAAGTATAACCCAGGTTATCCTTATCTGTAGATTGCTAACACAGTTAACATGACTGAAAAATAGAAAATTTTGCACAGGTGTTTTTTTTTGTTTCTCCAAAGTATAATAAGAGCAAATGCACACTACTTCAAAGTAGAGGGATTGAATATTTTCATTTTCAGTAGAAATCATTGCTAACCCAAATAAACTGTCATTTATTTATTTTTTTATTTTTAACATGATACAGATAATTATTTTTTTGTTGATTGTTGTTTACTGAAACATCTTTTTGGTACTTGCAATAGTCATTGGCATAATAAGCAATGGTTGCAATGCATAATTTTGGTTAAGTGATTGTAATTAAAAAAAGAAAAAAAAAAAAAGCTCCTTTTTTCTGTTCCTGATCTCATTTATACAAAAATTTACTCTTTGTATGAATGATTCATTGTAATATAAATTAAACTGCATCACATATTTGATTTAAGAGAACTGATCTGACGTGCAAATTCTCAGGATGATAACTGAGACATTACTATTTATTGAAATATTTAGTTCATGCCACATACTGATAAAATCCTACAACAAAAAAATTCTCAAATTGCTATAGTAGTAGAACATGCACTCTCTTAAATTTTCAAAATATTCAACCTTAGCATTGTGACTGCATGCTCCAAAAGTTTGTATCCATTATCAATAACATATTTAAAAAAAAAAAAAAAAAAAAAAAAAAAAACATATTTCGATTCGCATTATTTTGTCTCAGATGCTACTTGAATTTCACCAAAAACAAAATAATTTCCATGCCTGAAGATGACTGAATGTACAGTTGAAAGTACTTGCATATTAAAGAAAGTCCTTATACAGCTTATAATTAAAAAAAACAAAAAAAAAACAAAAAAAAACAAAAAAACAAGGATCATAACATTCATAGAGTGATTGATAGGTTAATGCACCTTTAAAATTTTGTTAGCAAAGGGATTTCACCATTTTATATCATTAACTTTACCAATTTACTTTTTGTATGAATTGTAATATAAATTGAACTGCACCACATATTTGAGATTATACATACACACACACACACAATGCATATTCTTCTAACTGATGATTGGCAATTTAATGTTGGTGGAAAAGGTAAATATGAACAAAAGTGGTTGAAGCCTCAGTGATGGTGAAGTCCTCCTTTCAAGGGCACCAAAACAGAGTTGCTGCTCCCAACTCAGTCAAGGTGGGGGTAGTTGGCACTGGATCTGATTCTGGCAGTAGTTCCACTTAATAGACACTCAAATTAAATGGGCATTCTTTAAAACTACAAGAATTTAAGACATGATAAAGTAATTTTAAGTCAAGTATAATTCCTCCCAAAATTAAGCTCAACTATCTAAGGTATTTTGTGGGACAAGTAAAAATAAAATAAAAATAGTTGAATGTAAAGATTAAAAACTTTTACGCGTTCAAAACAAATTCTTTTCTTTTAGCTTTGCATGCATAAAAAAACAAAAAAAAAACAAAACAAAACTTAAAAACAGTTTATTGCTTTATATGCTTCTGCTGACTTTTTAATTTATTGCATATTTTTATATTCTAATCTAAAAGAGTGAAGTGACAAAAATTTTCTATTTAATGTCTAAAATTCTACTTTTTCTACTAATTACCAAAATGTCTGCGTCTTTTTTTATTGAAACACTAGTGGTGTGGGATGAAGTAAAATAGACTTCATTAATTTTACTTACGGCATAAGCCTTCTGGCCACTAGCACAGCGAGAATCACCTTCTTCTAGAGGTGGAGGGGGAACATCATAGGATCGTCTCCAAATCTGAAGATGAAAATACAAAGAAAAGTTAATAGTCAGAGAAAATAGATATATGAAGAGCTAATTCAAGAAAAAAGTGCTTCAGATCAAAAACTCCAGACTGAAGATATAATGTCAAAGTCTAGAAAACCAAGCATATATTTTTCAATATTTTTACAAATGCTGTAGCCTAACAGTTATCATGGAAAGTGGAATTAGTGAGTGGAGTTCAACTTCTGGTATAGTCTGTTGCATTTACTTTCATAGAAATTGCTCTTGAGAAAGGCATGAATTCACCTCTTCTCAATTATATTAAACAGCAAAGAAAACTGAACTTTCTAGCCTTGGATGGTAGCCACCGATCTTAGAAAAAGACTACTCCAAATACAAAATGAAGGAAACAATGAGAAATCACATAACTATATTTCCAAGAAGTCATGATAATTCACATGATAATAAAAGAAAGTAATCTGAAGAACCATGATTCCTTATATCCTGATAAATAAATAAAATAAAAATATTTTATTTATACCATTTACATTGTTCGGACTGTTCATCTTTGTTGCCATATTCACAATGTTTCAACCATTGTATGCTCCAGCCTTCTTCAGGTGATTGAAATTTCAAACTGAACTCTTTATTTCATCCACTGGAGAGATAACATACTGAGATATCTGGAACTAGAATGTTCCAGATATCTCAGTATCAGTTATCTCCAAGTTTTGTTCACTTCTGCTGTAGCCAGGTATTGAACTCACAACTTTTGGGGTTAGGTCATTGGATTAAACCAACGTTTTTATCCACTGGACCATGTGTCCTTGAAATGTTTTATAAACAAGTATGTCAAAAAATAAAACAAGTACTGTTAGGGCATCTTGATTTATTAGTAATGATGCTTCAGTCCAAAAATTTAGTTATCATCTGATGAAGGATTTATCAGTAACAGATGTTTTTACATAAACATGTACATAAAATTATACCTATTATAGATACCTGGGAAATTTCAGGTAGCATTAAGAAAAACTAATGACAGCCGGAATAAGAGGGGTGGTTACCATATTCACGATGTGTATTTTCAAAGGATTGTGACACCAGACAATTGTTAATGCATCACAATTGGGTTATGTTCCAATGATGTCCCAAAAGCAGAGGAAGAATATAATATTCAAAAAAAGTGGAGAAAAATTTTACAGCATAAGTTCCCATTGAGAATTATTATATGGGAGACATTTTTTTCATTCTCCTTTCACTCTGCTTGTTATTGAAAACAAGTTATATTTTCTCTTTGTGGGATATATGCAAATAAGTATACATAATTTTGTGCATGACTTGGTGATATAAAACTCTGAAAACAAAGCATGTTTATCATTCCTTTTTCTTTCAGCCATACTGTTCTATCCATGAAATAAGGATATCGTGGATATAATAATGCCCATAATGGGTGAAACACAAATGGGAGAATAAACCTTTCTTCCATAGCACACCCATTACCTGGGTCAACCAGATGTGTCATTATTTGCCTTTGTTAATTTGGTGACCCCTTATGTGATATAAATTAATCTCCATTAATCCTAAACAATGCATGGCATAAAGTAACATTTTACTGAAAACAGAAGGCTTACATTTAACATTGACTAAAATTAGCAAAAGATACTGGGGATTTTGCTTTTTTAACAGCAAATAAATCTAAAATTGTATTGTCTAATTACAAAATGGTAATCACCATGAGGAAAACAACACTATGATATAAAGTAACATAAAATAAATTTTATTAACAATAAAGCATCAATTCTCTAACAGTTATGTCATTTATAAGTTAGATCTAAATCATATCCTCAAAATACCTTGACTTGATCTTCTCCATATTTCTGGGCAGTTTCAGCTTTGTTAAGTCCCTGAAGTGCACCATAATGCCTTTCATTAAGCCTCCAGTGTCGAGTGACAGGAATCCAGTGAAGGTCTAGCTCTTCTTGGATCAGGTAAAGAGTCTTGATGGCCCTCTTCAGTACACTGGTGAAAGCACAGTCAAAAGCAAAGCCTTTCTCTTTCAACATCTAAAGATATCAAAGGTTCCAAATTCCTTTGGTTTGAATACCGCACTGCATAGAAAGCATTAATAATGGTTTTAAATCATTTGAAAACTCAAAATAGCCACCAACATAGTGCTGGGTTAATGAGAGTTTATTATATACAATACAATTGGAAAAGAACAGGCATTTTATTTTGAAATCCTAAATCCATAAAAACTGGTTTCAAAAAAACTTTTTTAAATTAATGGGCACCCCAAAAATAAAACATTAAAACTGTTATAGGCATTTTTTGAATTTTGCCATGACATAATTAGTTTGTTAAATGATTTTGACAAGAGCTGTAGGAATGAATGAAATTTGTATAAATTTTAAAAGTTTGATATATAAATGTGTGATTTGTCAATAAATATATATAAAGTACACTGAGGTAATTCATCCCAGATAGATGAGAGGGTTTGATTTGTTAGAAGATGAAGTCAACAAATAGCCAAAACATTGAAACCATGTAACCAAGATAAGATTTCAAAGATTTTAGCCATTTTATTATGGGGAACTAAAGAAAAGGACATGAAAGGAAAAAAACAAAGAAAAAGGTTTGGATATAATCAGAAAAAAAAATTTATTTTGGAAAAGAATAAAGTAAATAAAAAAATATAAAAGGTAAAATTTTGAACTTCCAGAAAAAAAAACACTGTCGAAATTTCAAAGAGACAAAAAAATATTTTTAGAGGAATTAAAAGAGATTTCTAAAAAGAAGAAAATTTAGATATTTTTAAAGGGAAACAAATGAAAATAATTTCAGTTTGGAAAATGGAAATTTACAAGGAAAATTTTTAAGAAAATCTAATTAAATTAGAAATTTAAAAAGGACCAAAAATTTTTTTTCAACAAATTGATTGTAACTTATAGTAATCCAAAAGAACAATGGTTAAATGAATTTTGTTAAAAACAGAAAATAGTTAATGAAAACAGGTCTAACTTAATAGAAAGAATGAAAGTTTTAAGGTTTAAAAGAATTTTTTTAAAAGTTTCCAGAAGATAAAAGATAACAATTGACATTGCATTTAAATTCTTGAAGATAAGAGTTAACTGGGAAGCAAGAAGCTGAAAGAAGAACAATCTACCAACCAAAATTAAACAAAGGGTTCAATTTTAAATTCAGCAAAGGTTACACCTGAAGAAGGCCTGAGGACACAACAGCCAAAAATCTTGTGATAATAGCAGCAAAGATAAGGACTTTAGTCCAAATGTAAATAATGATAACTCCCCCACATCCCAGATATTCACACAGAAAATGTTATTTTCCACTTATAAAATGAATAAAAGAAATTGCAACTGTGTTATTTGTGTCAGTGTATAAAATAGAATTATCTTAGACAATCAGATAGCACAATGATTGATCGACTCTAAAAAAAGAAAAATATTTCTTGTAAAGTTTAACAAAAAGTATAAGACTAAACTAAGAGACATATTGCTAGACTGATACCCCAAATATCTGTGTCTGTCAATCTGAATAACTTTCAGTGAATTTCAACTGAAACCTTGATTCAATCTACAGGAATAGAATATTCTTATTATGCTGTTCATGGTAGGAAAGTAATATCTTGGTTAATAGTTTCTTCTATCACAATCTCTCTTCCAGTTTTTTGCTTCTCAGTCACCTTTGATCTTTTAAATGCAAGTCAATCATTATCTTCTGTCTTCTTAATAGTAGTTTTTCTTATATTCTCTAACACTCAGTAATCCGTTGCATCTGAGTGTGGCTTTATTGCCTTTCTTGGGATGAAATGATTAAAAAAAAATGCTCTAAAGTTGTTGCTAATCTTGTTTCTACTCAGTCTGAGCATATCCTTACTACCTGGTCTGGTTCTAAGGATTGAATTCACAGTTATTATGTTATCAAATTCACTGATCATGACTTTAGGCCACCATGAATTCAATCCATGGACCAAAACAACATTGAACTAAAATTATCTTGGTTAAGAAATTAGTTATTTTATAATTTGAGAGTGTGTGCAAAAAAATTTTATAGCACTTTTTTTAGATTATTTAATTCTTAATAACTAGTAGATAAAATATATATTAATAACTGATAAAGTATGTATTTAGAAATTCTTGATAAAATCTAAAAATAATCTGCAATGTTATCAATCCTGACCTGGTATCTCAGTTTCAGTCACTTTCCCACCACTGTAACATAGCTTCCCTGTACCTTTTCTATAAATATTTTCATGGCAATTGTTCTGACAATCTTTCCTCTTTGGTGACTCAACTTTATGAATTTAAGCACAGAACTAGTTTGGCAGCTAAATCTCATTTTTACAGTTGAATGGCTAGACATAACTGTAAGTTCTATGCTAACAGTTTCTTCTCTTGCACCTCTCACTTGTGGATCTCCCTTTCAGCTTCTTGCTTTCCAGTCAACTTTGATCTTCAAAAACTTAAATGCAATGTTAATTATTATCTTTTGTCTTTTTAATTCCTTTTCTTTTACTCTTCCCTCTCTTTAATAATGTTTATCTTTTTCTCATATTCTTTCACACTCAGTAACCCCCTTGTGTCTTAGTGACTTTTTTGTCTTCATTGGGGTGAAATGATATATATATATATATATATATATATATGAATGAATGAATAAGAACAAATATATAATTCCACTGTAGCGTTTAATTTTCAAAAACGGGCTTAATACAGAGTGGAACTTTATATTATTTATTATAGGAGATTAAAACAAAAAACATGTTAAGAATCACTACACAATAGCTTTCATGTTTCAACAAGAACTCGTGCCTCTTCATGCAATGGTAAATAACTGGTGAGTAAATGATTATTTTTAATTTCTAAAGAAAAATAATATTTTTTTTCAAAAGAGAAGAGAAGACGAGAACACAACAAATCAGAATTAAAATGAGGCTTGTGGGTTTACCCTGATTAACCATTCATTGCAGACCCTATCCAAAAATTCAAAATTAATCTAAAAAGGAAATTTATATCATGGCAAAAATGTAGCCTGAAATAGAATTCAGACAAGGTCATTTTGGCAGGCATGAAATTGATTCAAACTATAAGTGGGGACAACATTGTATCATAATGTGAACAAATATGACTTGTTCAATTTTCCATAAGAAGCTAAGGGGAGGAGTAGGAAGATTATCAAACTTAAAGCTAATTGTGACATAGATTTTTGTAGTTGAAAATTAAAAGGTTTATTTTTAAGAAATCAGTGAACACAATTAAACCGTTTAAAATTAAAAAAAATGTCTTTGGAACATCCAATAAGATGGACAAAAATACCAACTAGTTAAGTCATACACAGCTATATTAAATCTAAATAAAGAAAAAATAAAATAATTTCATAGAATTTTTGCAACACAATTTGCTTATTTTAATTATGACCATATAAAATAGTACTTCCAAATTCAAAAGTTTAACCACATCAATGTAGGGTGAAAGGTAAACTATGTCTGCAATTTACAGTTTTTCACTTCTTTGGTTTAATAGAGAATTTTTTTATCAGCAAATTTGTTAATTTCCAATTTCTCATGTAAGCATAAAGAAGCAAGTTTCATTTAAGGATTTAAGTTCTAGCTTTTTTAAAACTTTCCATTTTCTTATTAGAAGTTTTATTAACCTCTTTTAAATTCAAGACATATTTGGAAAGAGATGTACTATTTTATAAGTGCTATTGGTGAAAGATAGAATATGTTGGTATGAAACTAGTTTTAAAAGAATTCTTAGTACTTTTTATATAAAATTTTTTCAACAGTCGGATTTTCAATTGTAGAAATAGTGCTTTGGTAAGCAAGAGAGTTGGTCAGACATTTGTTTTGACAATGAACAATCATTAGAATTTCTGCAGTTATATTTGTTAGTATTATCAACATTAGTTACCTTGGAGGAACTTCTGTTAACATTGATTAAGTGGAGGTGTATAACAAAATAATTTTCCTGTTCTTATTCCTTTTTCTTTGATCACTATTATCATGTTTTCTATACTTGATATCTGCATACTTGTAACCACTATTTTTTAAGGCAGTTAGGTTCAATATATATTGGGTTGGCATTGACCTTCATATAAAGGTTGGAATACATCATTAACAAGATCTAACGTAATATCAAGAAAATCTACCTGTTTAACATTAGTAGTGATTTTAACTTAGTTTAGGCTTTTTTAATCCTATATAGATCATTTTTCTTAATTTATCAACCTTAATTTTAGTAGGATTTTTACTAACATACAACCATCATCTCTATATAACCCTATATTATCAACACTAATATCATCATAAGCACTTAGATTATATATGATAAATCAAACCACCAGGTCAGAAGACTCAGCAGAATCTAATGATCCCATTCTGTAGTGTACAGAATCATTTGTATGGTTTAAGGTCTGTCATCTGATTGGTTAATCAGGGTAAACCTTCAAGTTCCACAATTCATTTTAATGATGATGCATTTCTGTAATCATCTTTCTTCTCTTTAAAAAAAGGGGTATTTGATTTTAGAAATGAAAATAATGATTTTATTCACCAGTTATTTACCATCATCTAAAGAGGATTCATAATGCTGAAAACACAAAAGCTATTGTGTACATGTTTTAATCTCCTATAATAAATGATATTATATATATATATATATATAGGGGATTGTATTTAAAAGAAAAAAGCAATATACATTTTTAGGCAAAGCTTAACCCTTGTGTCCACAATAAAAGGTTTTGTCAAAACGATATTTTTCCCTAAATATCAGTACAATTATTTTCACTCCAGCAATATTTGTTGTTTTAAAAGAAATGATTAGAATTTTGATAAACCAAAACATATGAAAGTTAATTTATATATTTTTTGTTTTTTTTGATAAGTGACAACAAAACTATTAAATGAAATTTATTAGATTGTTTATTTGCAAAAATAATTTTATATTTTCAACATTCTAAAAATGTGAATCAAATAATACAATGCAATCTTTATTATTTATCAATTTTTAAAGAAATAAAAAGCACCAACTTCCTGGCAATGTTT